GTTTCACGACCCGTCGACATCGCGTGTGAGAGAGGAAAACACGTTTAAAACTCTGGAAATGCGTCTTCACTTCGACTCAGACGTTTAAAACAATCGATGCATTCTCAGTTCCGAAATTCGGTGTCGGTCTGTCTTGCCATTGGTGTCGCTTTCTCTATCTCACTGGAGTAGTCTGTACGTCGTTCGTCCCCAATTCATAGTTCTCATGTCGCCTTTTCAAGGCCATGTCGCTTGTCGGAATTTACCCCTAACATGGTCTCATAAACATCTCGCTCCTTTCGGGCTGTTGCCTATGAACATTGCGTGACCATAAAACATTTCAGGTGATAAGAATTGAGACGAGTTTAAATCTCTCTCTTTTCTTTTAATTTCGAGGGGTCTTAGTTTTCGGGGTCTGAGATTTCGGCGTCTGAGGTTTCTGGGTCTGAGGTCTGAGGTCTGAGTTTTCGAGGTCTGAGTTTTCGTGACACCCAAAATGGAAATGGCGATAGTTGTCACGCAATCAGTTTTGTTTCGTTGCGTGATTTCCAAAGGCCACAATATTTCGCGGGCTCAACCAAAATCATAATGAACGAAATTATTACAATTGTAATGTTGTTATTATCTGCTGTTGCTCTCAGTACAGCTTTGCATTTATATCATCTGGTTGGAATACCGAGCATAGGAATAAGTCATGGACTTGTGTATGTAAAAATTGGACGAGAACTGACGCGAAGGGGTTACAAATACACGCTTGTTGTTCCAACTTGGCAAGAAAATGACCTTAAAAAAAGTTCAGCTGGGCTTGAAGTGAAATCTTACGATACTCCAATAACGGGCGAAGATCTGGAGAAAGTAATACTGAAAGAGGCAGAGGGGAAGCTTAATATTACCGAAAGGAACGATTTTTGGAGAGCTTCTTGCGAGAGCCTGCTGAAAAACAAAGATCTGTTGAAGAGCTTTAAAGGACACGTGCACTTGGTTGTTTGTGACATTACAAGTATTTGTTGTGCGATAGTGGCCGACTTTCTCAAAGTTAATCGCGTGGATTTGGCTCCTGCTGGATTTGTCGACCCATATGTGAGCTTTATTCACAATTTCCCCTCCCCCGTCGCTTATGTTCCCTATGGAACTGTGAAACTTCCCAAGAAATTAGCATTCCTTGATAGACTACAAAACCTGTTATTGTACTGCCTTGGTTATATAATGCACGAGTTCGTTTTTATGCCACCTTTTGAAGAACTTTGGAGATCTTACGTGAAGGATAGTAAATTTTCCAGTCTTAACGAGGTCTTCAGAGCCACAGGTATTCTTCTGATTCCCAATGATTTTGCTTTGGATTTTCCTAGACCTTTTGGATCCCACGTGAAAGTCATTGGTCCCATACTGCCAGAACCACCAAAGCCACTTACAACAGAAACACAGAATTTCATCACTCAAGGAAATCCTAAAGACTTAGTCCTTGTTTCATTTGGTACTGTCATTTCAAACTTTAAGTCAGATTTTCTGGAGACTATAACATCAGGGCTGTCTCAGGTCCCCGTTAAGGTGATTTGGAAGTTCAAAGGTCAAGTACCTCAGAATGTCAGTGCAAATATCAGAATTGTTCCATGGATGCAGCAAAATGATATCTTAGGGCACACAGCTACAAAGGTGTTTTTTACACATGGAGGTTTAAACAGTGTTCTTGAAGCTGCATATCATGGTACTCCTATGGTTGTCTTACCGTTATTTGGCGACCAACCTGCAAATGCAATGAAAGTACAGGAGGCGGGTATTGGCATAATACTGAACTTACAAGATCTGACTCCAATCCAGGTTACAAATGCCATAACCGAAGTCATCCAAAATCCCAAATACAAAGAGAATGCAATGAAAGTTTCGAAACTGATACGTCACAGACGCATAACTCCAACTCAGGAAGCCTGTGATTGGATTGAATATGGGTTACATAACAATGCTGGATTGCATCTAAGGAGTCAAGCTGATAACTTATCTTTTTTCCAGCTCTATCTTCTGGATGTGTTGTTTCTGATCAGTGTGGTTATTCTCTGTCTCATAATTTTGTTGTATTCTTGCATGAAGTATTGTTTAAGGTATATAGCACAAATGTGTTTTAAAAAGTTCAAAACTGAGTAAGGAAACAGTTGATGAAGTGTGATCTAGGTTTCAAGTGATTGTGTACAAAGTAATCTCAAGGCAGACGCCCCGTGGGGAGTCATTGGAGGGAGCCATGAAGTTTAACTCTTACTCATTCCCAGTCATTTTTTGTGTCAAAAAGAGTCGAGGGAGACTGAGTGAAATTTTTCAGGGACACAGGGAAGATTATTGTAAGGAAAAAAAAGGAGAGAGGGAGTCTTCCTTCTCTTCTCCCAATGACCCTTAGCATAATGCTCTTTTCTTTGTAATGTTCAATGGAACTCTCAAGAGATAACTGGGGGACAAGTAGCAGCTAAAGCAATGTTTCCAAAGAAACAGGGTGTCGTGAGGTGGGGGTGGGGGTACGGTTGGGAGCTCAAGCCAAAAAAGCCTGCTGTGGCAGAGTGTGGTTATTTTCTGGAGTGCCATGCTCACTGAAAGAGTGAGTAACTAGTACAGACAGACAGACAGACAG